TGTACACAATTCATTGAGGAGGTGATTTTAAACCTTACCTAAGTAAGCTTCCAATGGCACTGTCTCCCACACCATTCTGGTATTCTCTGTCATCTATACCCAACTCTTATTGTTATTTGTAAACATCTAGAATGCTAATCTCTCTCAGGGCAGGGATCTTCCTTATCCTACTTACTGATGTTTGTTAGACAAGGGATAACTACAGGCTGTCTTCAATGAAAAAAGCTGAATTGGGGATATTGTCTACATTCTGTTCTTATCCCTCACTTATAGTCTTATTACTTCCCTGTCTTCTCAGTTTTCATATCAGATTCTTTTCTCTTTCTTCTTAATTCTTAGTCACTGGTTCCTGATAATTTATGACAACTATTGAGAATTACTGGTATGAAAATTATTTTAATAACTTCATTGATGAAAATACATTCTTATGATTCAAAGGTGTAGAAACACACATATGTATTTATATGCAGAAAATAACTCATACTCCCACCACTCATGCACACTTTTAATATTAGATAACTTTCATTTCAGATATCTTTCTCTATAAAAATATACAGGTACACACACACACAAATGTATGAGTAAATCTTTAGACAGCATTCATGTCAATTTAGCACAATTCCCAGTTGTTTTCTGAACACTTATTCCATTCTTGATGGACTCCTACATCTTAACCTTACTTAAATGAAACCTTGATTAAATGAAATGACATTTGTAAGATGCTTCACTCATTTCCCAGCACATAGGAAACATTGTATATGTGTTGGTTGCTATTTTCAGAATGAGAGTGCTGAAAAGGTGCTCTCAAGGTGATCTGAGCTGTCATGTCATAGGCTGAAGTAAGGCAACTAAAGCTACATATGTAGAAGAAAGTTTTGCAGTACTATCTAAAGCTAGTCTCGAGTATCTTGGTGTTAGTCTTTGAAATAGCTGAAGCCATCAGAATAGTTTCCTGTTAGCAGTTCCAAGTGATTTGTTACTTTGAATCAATCAGTGAGCTAGGCTTGCAAACAAGCTACAGGCTGTTTAGAAAAATGCTACAGATTCCAATGAAAGGTTAAAATTCACATATTGATGGGGACACCTTTCCAGGTTTGGCATTTATTGCCCTTCTCCCATACATGTGCTCCCACTCATACACTCACATCTAGGCAGGTAGCTAGAGACAAATCATTTCATTCTTCTATTTGAAAACCTCCACTGGTCCCACACTATTTGCAGGAAAAAATCTAAACTCCTTATTTCAAGGCTATCTTCCTAAACTGGCCTTCATACCTACTTTACTCCTCATTTATAGCACTCCCATCATTTTGCTACATGTTATCACATATTTATGTCAGGCACTGTGTTAGGTGCTGGGATTACAAATAGAGCAAGGAGTCATCTATAATCTTGAGAAACTAACAATTCAGTATGAGAGACAGATTCTAAGCATAGGTCATTAAGAGCTGATTTAAAGTGGGAAGAGAATTAAGAAATAACTTCTGTATTTCTAAAGGAGACACATCATTTTAAGTAGATTAAAGTAGGTTTCATGGAGAAAATGACACCTGAGTAGAATAGGGAGGGGTGAGTGGGAGTTACTGGAGCAAAGCAAGAAGGATAAATACATGTATAAACATGGAAGAATAAAATAACATTGTGTGTAGATGAAAATTATAATCACTTTTTGATACTAGATAATTGCCAATATTGTGGTCCCCAGTATCTGCTGTGAAAGTATTTCCAATAGTGTGGTAAGGCAGGAGACAAGTTGCTTTGATAAATCAAGTATTAAGAAAGTTTATAAAAAGAATATTCCTAATTGAGAAGTTAATTAGAAAGAGGGGTAAAATGGAATTAGCAGTGGGAGGATTTGCTTTTAGAGAAAGGATATCTTTGAGATAAGACAGTAAATAAAAATACTCAGCAGAAAAAAACTCATTAGTCCTTCCTCTGTTATGACCTTAATGATTCTTAAAGTGCTACTTCTTTTTTTCTAATATGATCATTACTTTTAAAAAATGAGTTTCCAGCAGTTCTTCAAGGTTAAATTATCTCAAATTCTCATTAATATGCTCTTCTCTACTTTTCAATACTGGATTTATCCCTTACATATGGTACTAATTACTGCATAGTGTTGTTACCTATTCACATGATTTTCTACCTCTAGAATACAAATTTCTTGGAAACTTAGACTACAGATTTGTATTTCCAGTCCCATTTACATTTTCTGATACAAACTAAGGCTTTATTCTATTAAATTAATTAATTCCCACTTGATAATCTCAAAGGCATGTTAAAATTGATCTGATCTGATCTAAAACCAAACTCTTGGGTTATGAAATAATGTATTTATTTCTTCAGTCTTCAAGACAGGAAATCTGGCAGCCTTCTTTAGCACCTTCTGTATTTAATTTATCTGTATGTCTTGTTTATTATACACCAAAGTATATCTCAGATATTCCAAAGCATTGTTTAGTTTGGGATGCAATAATTCTTTCCTACAGCAGTGACAACCATCCAGCTTATCTACCTGCTTCCACTGTCCATCTATCCCCAAATTAATCTACCTCTTGGCAATAGGAATGCTATTGTAAAATACACTTCTGATCATATTTTTCATGCCTGCTGAAATCCCTGCAATGAGTTCTCATTATACTCAGCAAAAAACCATTCAAACCCTGAGCATGTTCTCCTAGGCTGTGGATGACCTAGCCCTGCTACCTTTCTGATCTTTTCTGACACCATTCTCCCATCTGCTTTTCCATCTACAGACCTACACAAGTAACTGTCTTCTTGGCCAAAAATGCCCTGCTCCCTATTATTTGCTAATTAGATCTCAGTTAATTATCATCTTTTATGATCAAAAATTTTAATTATGTATTCTCTAATATTTTCATTTTCTACCCTGTATTCTCTATATTTTCATTTTCTACCTGTATTCTTTGATTTTGCATTTCTTAACATGGTTTGTTAGTATGTGTATATGTGTGTGTATGTGTATGTGTGCACAATGCTTCTTTCCCCACAGCAGGGTAAGATATATAAGGACTATGATATGGAGACCAAATGACATAGGAATCATGTCTGCTTTTCAATTAGATTTCTGCAGCACCCAATAGTAAAATGAAAATGGTAATAATAAAATGGATAAGTTTTGAGTGAATGAAAGAACAGACTGTTCATTTTCAGTAGCACAGTCTTACAAATAATAGGGAAAAATGTTGCATCTATATAACTCTGCCAGCTGTATCCATAGGTACTACATCTGTGGACTCAGTCAACTATTTATAGAAGAAAACAATTGGAAAAACTGCATTTATACTGAACAAAATGCAAACTTTATTTTCGCATCATTATTTCCTAAATAATACAACAATTTGCATAGCTTTTTACATTGAATTACATCATGTAAGTTGTCTAGACATGATTTAAAGCATACAAGAGGGTGTACTTAGGTCATGTATAAATACTGCATCATTTTATATAAGGGACTTGCACATCTGCAGATTTTTATATCTGTATCTGCAGATTTTGGTATCTCTAGGGAGGGAGTTTTCGAATCATTCTCCCTGCATTCAGTCAAAAGGTGTTCAGCCATGCGAGATAACCGAAAGTACAAGATGGTTTTAAAAGTCAGCAGTAATCCAGGTTGAAATTAGAAAAAATATGAAGAAAACATCATCTATAGTACTCCTCACTCCATTCTCAAGAAAACCAATCATAATTAGTTTTTCCTTCTGGCATCTTACTTTCATGCCATGTAAGTATACACACACACATATACATACATTATACTTCATCTGCTCCACAAAATTTATTGAAGCCTTTGTGTTTAACTCTGCAGATACCAGGATGAATAGGAACTCCAAGAAGTTTGTTGTGCAAAGGAAAAAACAGGACTCAAATGCTATCACAAAGCACTTGAATGTTTTACAATATCAGAATGAGAACGAAAGTCTTCTCTATAATACTAATCAATAAAAAAATGATCTTCACATGAGGAAGTCTCAAATATCTCAGGACTGCAGGATTTTTACAAACAGGCTTTGAAGTAAGCTAATGCAAATATTGCAGATAATCACTCCTATGAGGAATGGAGTCTAACCCTGAGGACTTATCACCTAGCCTCTCAGAGTTCTGTGCTAAACCACTAGATGGCCTGACATGTCACATGGTCAGCCCCCTGCCCTGGAGGGTTCCTTTCAGCCTCATGGGTACCCCCTCCATTCCTGTCCTGTGTTCTCTTACTATATTGCAACCATATTTTTACTGTTTTGCCTTCTTTCTTAAACTGTGTACTTATTTGAGAGAAAGGTAGTATCTTAATTTCTGTATCCTTATTTTATTGATACACACATGATGTGAGGACAGCGAAGAAAAACTAGAATGAAGATCAGGAGGAGTCATATTTTGGTTTTGTATAATAAAAATTAGAAGGGGTATGTAGTATAGAGCAGACAACATAGTGATATACATCCTTTGGAGTAAAAATCAAAAGGCAAACCAATACTAAAAAGCAAAAAATAAGCAGAAGCAAGTCTTGACCTGTGCTAATGTTATTTAAAAGCTTACTAATAGAAGGTTCTTGATTTCAATTAAGGAAAAGTATTAAGAAAAGCAAACAATTGTAGACAAAATTCTATCTAATTGGGCCCCACCTTTTTGCTCTTGGACATGTCATAGCATATTTCAGCCTCTTTTCAGCTAATACTTCTTCCTCTATATCTCAAATGACACACTTAACCGGGGCCCTGCTTAGGAACTCCTAGGAAGGTCTTCAGGGTGCACTGAGAGTGACCAGTAGCTAACCTAGGAATTCTGATCTATTTTGGAGTGAGGACAGGTGTTTAGGCAGATCTTTCCATAAGAGCTGAAGGGTTTCATGAGTAGCTCAGCCCTAAGGGAATTCTTTGTCCTATAAATAAGATAACCCAAGATGAAAAATACTTGAAGATGAGACCCCTCTCTCCATGCCTGTGTCTTTTTTTCAGTTGCTGACATTGTGACAAAGGTACCTGTCAGGTCATCAGTGGGCCAGGACCCCAGCTGGCAGGCCTTGCAGGTGTATTCATCAAAGACATACTCATTCTCCTTGCAAGGTGTGCAGGTCCAACAACAACTGACTTCTCCCTTCCGGATCACCTAAGACAAATATTTAAAATGTTGATTAATTTTTTGTATAAATTTTGAACAATTTTTAAAATAAAACCCCTTGAAATCCATTATTCCAATGTACTTCACTGCTTTGCAAAACAGAATGGGCCTTCACACAAATTTCAATTGCAATTAAATAGACAAGAATACATATTAGTATTCTTATTCTATATTTAAAGAAACTGAGTTTAAACATCATGGAGTTGGTTGGTAGCAGGGTCCCGAATTTAATTTAAAGAATTCAATTATGAGAGTATTTGGATAATTAGCTTTGGATGCCTATATTTAATTAAAAACCTGTGTTTTCTTCATGGGTTTGTATACCTACATATACATGTACAAAACTGAACTTTCTCCAAAGTCTATGCCTCTTCTTTTCTCAAATTAGGAACTTTTGCTCTCTGAATTTACCTTGGCTTTCTTCTTCTTGTTGAATAATTGTGAGAAAAAATACTGTATTTCTCCTAATGTTCAAAAATCCATTCGTATTATTAAATAATTATGAATTTTCATTGGATAGAAAACAGAGGCACAAGCTTTCTGGAGATAATGTCTTTCTAACCAAAAATCTGGTTCAATAATTCAGCCCATTCTTTCCTCTTTAGTAGATTTGCTTTGCTTAGGTTGAATGTAGATAAAGTCATTGAGACTACTATGGACCACTTCAGCTATTTGATTTTTAAAGCAATAGAAATTAATTTAAATAATTTAATAGTTGTTGAAAGAGTTCAAGAAGTTATTCTTTAGAAAAGGGTGTCTTTCTCCCACTACCACTTGTGCATTAATAACCTCCATGAAATAAATGCAGAATTCACTCACCAATCATATAGATAATTAAAGCAATGATGATTATGTTTACATCCCTTGTCTTACATACAGACTTCACTGATGAATTTTGATAATAATATTGTCTAAATACCCATAGCCAAGTATAATCGTAAATGATATTTTTTCATATTATGTACTGACCTTTGTGCTCACTCTTAAATCTGCAACAATGAAAGCAAGAAACAATGGAAAATGGCCTGAAACATCCTACCCCTAAAATCATCTACTGAGTGAGGCAAAATTATTAATTAGACCCTATTTAATCCAGCTGAAATATTCTTCATCATAATACTGACATTTACAGGCTATTTAGGGCATGCCATATGCTGTGATGACATTAAAATACTGGAGCAGCTCTGTGTGAGGTAGCTGGTTTATTTTATTCAAGTTTAAGGCAGGTAACTAATACATAGTTCACTCACTTAGCAAGCTAGGGTAAATGGGGTATCAACTAATGTGTGTTGGAATTTAAGGCTCATGCCCACAAATATTGAGCCTTATTGGAAGGTACAGTTCATAATATTATGATGTAGGGAAAAGAGTACTGTTCTGGGTTTGAAGAGGCACCAGGTCCTAGTTTTACTTATAGCCACTATGTTGTTATGAAGACTTGAACAATCTTCCAGAGGCACCTAGCTTTGCATGTTCGGTTCTGGTTTACATTTATTTTGAATACAAGATACAGTGACAGTCTCTTTCATGGCATTTTCCATTCTTTGGGAATATCCTAGAAGGGGTGGTGCTTTCTTTCTAACTAACAATATGAAGTTTTGCTAGCCTAAACTCTGTCATGGAAATTAGGTTCGGGAGTCTCTGAACAATGCCACGAGATGTTATCATCACTGCAGTTCTCAGTTGCAACTTCAAACCATATTAAAGAAAGGTTGTCAAGTGTACATGTAATAGAGTAAAAATGAGAACTGGTTGAGAAAATAGAGTTTAGGAATTAAAAAATGACTAAACAAGAATTATTATTAACTAAGCAATATTGAAACTAAAATAATAGGGAATCAATTCCTCCATTTTGTAAACTGCTCCCAGTAAAGTATATGTAAATCAGTCTCTCAAATCAAAAATTCAAAACTTTGACATCATAGGTTCAAACTGCATTGGTACGAAGAGTTAAAAACAAGGAACATGCAAATGGTAATTTACATTGCATAAACTTTTTATGGAAGCAATGGAAATTATGAACAACTGATGTTCCAGATGGACTTATAAAGGCTTTCCCAGGAATAGCTCAGCTGCAAGGTGACTGGCCAAGACACAGTTTGCACTATATATTGAGAGCTTGTAAACTCCCCATAAAGGGCCAAATAGTACATATTTAGGCCTTAGGCTATACAATTAGCATCACCACACATCCATTTAACTGCTATGGTAGTGTGAAAGTGACCATTGAAAATACATTAAACACAAAACAGCTTGGCTATGCTTCAATAACACTTTATTTACAAAAATAGGCAGCAAGTCAGAGCTGGCTGTGACTCATAGTTTCAACTCTTGTTGTATGCCACAATGTCTTATTAAGACATGCAGAGATTTTCACATATTTAGAAAGCTATTGAGCCACTTAGCAGATATTAATAAATTTATTTTTATTTTATTATTCTATTTTATATTTTATTTTTTGCCTTTCTTCCTTCTAGTCTTATGATTTCCAAATTTTCAGAACTCTCTGAGGACCTTACTACCAATTGTAAGATATTGTAGTTTTTTCTTTTCTTTTTTTTTTTTGAGGTACTGGCTTGAACTCAGGGCCTATACCTTGAACCACTCCACCAGCCCCTTTTTGTGAACGTTTTTTCGAGATAGGGTCTTGCAAACAATTTTCCCGGGATGGCTTTGAACCACAATTCTCCTGATCTCTGCCTCCTGAGTAGCTGGGATTACAAGCATGAGCCACGGGTGCCCAGCTTTTCAGTTTCAATCCAACATCGCAAATAAACATCTCTAAACTGAGTGAAGCTGATATCGATTGAAAAGACTAAGACAAAATGCTGAAAGTGTACACATTGCCTGAAATGGTACAATATAACTTTTTGTTGAACAAATACTTCATTTTTATATCATTTCTTCTTCTACTAGGACAATGCACCCCCAACGCTCACTTTATCTCCCTCTTAAATGATATTTTGATCCTCTTATTCATTGTTGTTTATTTCCTGTAAGTATGAACAGACCATACTTAGCCTAAAACCAGCTATCCTGTGTCTCCAAATTACCAAACCACTCTCGCCTGCTTTTCATCGTGAACTTTTTGAATGTGTACCACTGTATTCTGTTCCATTTGACAGGCTTCTGTCTTGAGAGACTTGGATGAAAGGCTAACCCTTAATTCTTAAGTCTTTCCTTCATTCCTCCTCTTCCTTGACCTGTCTTGTACTGACTATTATCTTATGAGACAGTGTGCTTTCCATCTGTCTCTCTCTGAACTCATTGCCACTCAGCTTTCACCTCTTCCTCTTTACACTTTAAGGGCAGATATTCTCCAAGGCTTATTCTTGGTCCACATTGTAATTTCTTGAAACTTTCAGGTTGAGCAATTTTATTTATGCTAACAATATTATCATTAACTCTAACCAATTAATTCTTAAGTTTGGATCTTTAGCATTTTTTTCTCCTTCTTCTAGACCAGTCATTACTAGCTTGTTCTCCCAAAACCAATATGCCACCAAACTAACCCCTTTTTTCTAAAACCATCCTCATTGTTTTATTCCTGACAACAGTACCTTTTAGTTACTAAGACTGGAAACTAGAGTTGATTCTCGAGTTCTTTCTCTTCTCCAACCCAATGTGTAATCAACGTCTTGGTCTTATCGGGTCTTCCTCCATGAAGTTTCTCCTTAACATATCCCTTTCCCCTTTGTTCATTTTCATTGCTTCTTCCCTTGTCACCTTTAACTTAGCTCTGTTTTTCTTTTTTCTTATTTATAACTGTACTCATTAATCTTCACCTACTGTAGTCCAACTTACATCAACATATTGATCAAAATTATTCTTTTACTCCTGTTCAATATATATTAAGTTCAATCTATTTAGTATGACACTGAAAACTCTCTATAAATCTAAATTTGCCCTATTATTTGGCTTTTTCTTTCATAGCAACTTCTATGCTCTTTAAATTGTTCACTTCTGTTGGAGAATAGTCTAATTAAGCATTCTGTACCTTTCGTATTACTGTTCATTCTTCAAAAATGATCCTTCTCTGAAATCATACCCATTTTATGGTCCAATGCTCAAAAATTCTTCAGAAGAAATCTCTCTCTTTTGTATAAAGGTATGTAGCCTTATTTTCTTCTTATTAATGAAGTCATCACATTTTCATATTATTTATCTATGCACATGATATTTTCCCTTATTTAGACCAAATATTCTGACAATAAATGATATATCACTTATTTTTTCTCCAATAATGTTAATGGTTACATTAAGAAGTGCTGATATCAGTGTGCTTTGCAAGTCTAAATTATTTATTCCCAAGAAACAGTGTCATTATAGCCTTACATAAGCAGAAAGGAGGGTGAGACAAAATCAGACTCTTCAAAGGGTTTGATCAGCTCAGACCAACTATGAATACTATTGGGGTTTCATGCTAGATTTCCTAAAGAATTAATGAGAATAATCTTAAAAACACTTTCTGACATTAGAAACTTACAATTAAAAGCTAATACAAGCATCAAAATTTAAAAAAACAGCTAATGATAATTGACATTTTAAAATTTACAACAAAAATAAAGAAATATGGACTACATCTTACCTTTATCTGGCCTTTCTCACATGGTTCACTACACACAGATCTTATGATATTATTTTTCTTGGACCATACTTCATCATCATCCATTTTTAATTCTCCATTGTCCCAACTTCCAACATTGATGTAATCAAAATAATCTTTCCCCATTTCCTTGAAATTCATTATCTCATACCTTAGACAAAGAATAAAATAATTATTCATATATGAATATAGATACTCATCTATTAAAAGGCAACAGACTTCATTCTATAAATTATATCTATTGTCATATAAGGAACACTGGAATTTTCCATGGGAGTTCAGTTAGAATAATAAAAACCTGTTGGTTTCATTTTCTCTTCAGAGTTTTTTTTCTTTTTTACATTCAAGCTTACACCTGAAATGGAAAATAATAATCCCATAGGAGAACGGGTCTTGACCTCAAAAAGATGAAAGACACTTTTGAAATAACTTCAAGAAGCTTAACAAAGACTATTGTTGGGCTTCTGAAAAAAGATAGGAAAGTTTTTATTTACACTGAAGTAACATGACAAATTTTTCCCATACTAATCCAGTGAGAAATCTGGTAAATCTTCATCTTATTACCAACGTTAAGTAAGGAGGGGTTAATTTGGATAGAGCCTGATTTTACTTTTCTTCTTTTACCTTTTATTAATGGCTAAATTCATTATATAAAGGCAATTATGGAAATGATAGTTTAAAAAAATAATCCAAAAAATTTCTAAGGAACTTTGTGAAATGTAAAAAATACTAAAAGAGAGGAATACTTTGTGATTTCTCAAACTTTATTGGATATTATTCTTATTTAGAGTATGGGGAGAAAAGATAAAGAAGGCAAACCAATGTGTGCTTATTTGCAAGCCTTATGTATATGAACTTTTCCAGAGAAGCATTTCTGAAATAATTTTCTAATCTGAGAATACCAGATGAGCAGTATAAGGACTTTCAGTTCCTACAAGTATGTCATAGGCCTGTAATAAGTCCTTAAACACTGCTTTTGATATAAAGCTCTGACTCCTTACTTTGTTTATGAATTAATTGAAAACAGGATAAAAGCTAGGCATCCCATCCTTCATTTTGTGGTTGTGTTCTTTATTCTGAGTCATTTTCTCCTGCAGTCATTTTGCAGCCATCCTGGGATTCAGGAAGGACCAGAAAGGAGAAAAAGAGCACCTTCCAGGTAGCAATGACTCATTATAACAAGGCACCACCTGATCAGTTATGAGACAATGAGTTGCCAGACCACCTATGACTACTGACCACACCTGTGACTGGGACAGCAAATAATTATACATACCTTGCCCCTTGCTCCCACTCCTTCCTCCTCTTTAAACCTAAAGCAAATGTCTGTCTTAGAAGATGGGTTGAAATGCTATCTTGTCTTTTCCTTTGGTTTCCTGTGTCATGTAATAAACTTCCTTTTCTTACTCATCTTTTATTTAGTGTGTTGGGATGAGATGCCAGCCTGAAGAAACCCAGGAATTTGGGCCTGTGGCTAAAATCTCCTGTAACAGGTATACAACATTTTACCTAGTACCCTCTGCTTTTTGGACTTTAATGCTGGCGTGTAGGTTCATGAATGCTCCCTCCAACTTTCCACACGCCACATGTTTAGCTATCTGGAAGTGGATCTATGTGGAAAACTTTCTAGCTCTGGGATTCCAGTGAACTGTCTAAATTACAATTCTAAATCAAAACTCCTAGGATACTTTCCTTTCTTCACTGTCACAGCCATCCCATGGCTACTGAGCATGCAATAGGTTGAGATGTTAGAACACAGAGCACTGAAATAAAAACAACTCATGAGTTATGGCACTGATACTTCAAATATACAGGCTTATAAATCCTAAAAGGTGACTTTCCTGATTTGTCATTGACCAGAAATGTCAGTGTCTTTCTTTGCTTTTAGTGTTTCAAGAGATGAGGGTTCCATTGCTCACTCACAAATGAATTCCATTTCTGGAAATGTCTAGTCTGAACTGTTAACTTCATATATAATGGAAGCGAAGCCCAGTGAGGTTAGTTAATATGACCAGGTTTCAGAGAAGGCAAATGTCAAAAGCCAGTGCCTTTAGATTTCAGTCTACTGTTCTTTCTTCACTATTAGATCACCTCAGATCTACTCAGTACAACTAAGAGGTCAAACGATTCTATATTTTAAGATTCTTATCTCTATAGCTATGGCCCTTAGTTTTATGTATAAGACATTTGCTGGTAAATGGATGGAACTGGAGAACATCATTCTGAGTGAGGTTAGCCTGGCCCAAAAGACCAAAACTCGTATCTTCTCCCTCATATGCGGACATTAGATCAAGGGTAAACACAACAAGGGGATTGGACTTTGAGCACATAATAAAAGCAAGAGCACACAAGGGAGGTATGAGGACAGGAAAGACACCTAAAAAACTAGACAGCATTTGTTGCCCTCAACACAGAGAAACTAAAGCAGATACTTTAAAGCAACTGAGGCCAATAGGAGAAGGGGACCAGGAACTAGAGAAAAGGTTAGATCAAAAAGAATTAACCTAGAAGGTAACACACACGCACAGGAAATCAATGCGAGTCAAATCCCTGTATAGCTATCCTTATCTCAACTAGCAAAAACCCTTGTTCCTTCCTATTATTGTTTATACTCTCTCTTCAACAAAATTAGAGATAAGGGCAAAATAGTTTCTTCTGGGTAGCGAGGCAGGTGGGGGGAAGAGGGAGGGGGTGAGGGGGTAAGGGAGGGGGTGGGGGAAGGGGGAAGAAATGACCCAAATATTGTATGCACATATGAATAAAATAAAAATTAAAAAAAAAAGAAATGGCAAAAAGTGAAGGGATTCCATTTTGGAAAAATAAACGTGGCAATTCTGGAGATTGTGAAATGTCATATTTGAAAGGGAAATAATTTCAAGAAAAGTTAAATCTTAATTTTGGTTTTGCCATCTTTATAACCACATTAGAAACAACAAATCTTTCCTTTTGAATTAAACTTTTTTCCTGATAATTATTTATTATCTATAAGACAAAACATAAAAAAAATTATCAATGGCTCTAGCTATGAAAATGTGACATTGATTTTAATACTTCAGTAGAAGTGCACTAAAAAGAAAGAGAGAAAGAAAGAAAGGAAGAAGAAAGAAAGAAAGAAAGAAAGAGGAAGGAAGGAAGGAGGGAGGGAACAAATAAATACAAATAATTCTCCATGTAGAAGATTCTTTCTTTCATGAACTGGAATGAGATTTGAGCCTTTTAAATAACTTCAGAGATGAGATATAGATTTTATTCTCTATCAAAAGCAAACAAAATTTCAAAAATATCCTTATTTAAATTTCAGATAAGAATTAAAACACTTAGCCACTTCCTGCAGTGTTTATATGTTATTTAATCTAGAAGACTGTATTTTATTTTCCGCAAAAGAACTATAAGCAACTCAGTGTATTTGTTTTCCATAAAGATACCAGTTAACTCAACTAGCAAAACCACTTTGTCTTCCTTATTATGCTTGTGTCTTTTCTTCAACAAAATTAATGATAAGGGCAGAACAGGACCTGCCTGGAACTGAGTGGAGGACGGTAGAAGGGGGGAGGAGAGGGGGACAGGTGACTCAAACAATGTATGCACATGTGAATAAATGAATAATAAATAAATAAATAAAAGCTTCTTATATTTTGAAAAAAAAAAGATACCAGTTATAGAACATCAGTGTTGGATGCAAAAATTAAAGTATGATTACAATCATGGAACACTGTGAATAAATACCCCAGTCCAATTTCTTTCTTTCCTTCTTTTCCCCTCCCCTCTCCCCTCTCCCTCCTACCCCACCTTGTTCCCACATCCACCTCTGCTCCTGGGACCTTTCCCTTCATCACAGTGTGTCTCTGTCTTCTTCAGTATCTCTTTCTCTTTCCCCTTTCCCTCTGTGTCCTCACATCTGTCTGTTCCTTAAATAGCTACAATTTAGCTGAAATATCCCAAATAATTTTTAAAATAAATTTTATATATTTTTCAAAACATAAATAAAAAACAAAATATATTTCAACAAGAATAAGTTCTGTTAAAGCCCTTAACTGAAACTAGAGGAAGTCAGTTGAACAGAAATAAAGACATTTCCTAATGTTTAGAATTCTAAACTGAAGCAAGCATCCTCACAAGGCGGGGGAAGCTATCTTTCCTGGGGTATAGTTGAAGAAAGGATGCTGTCAGGGGAATCGAACAATTATTGAGAGAAGGCACTTTGGAGAGTGTATGGCTCCTAACAGTCTCTCGGGCTGCAATTCTGATGCTAAGTCCTTTTTTAAAAATGTGATCCTTAAATTTGTGCTTAACTGTCAGTGGGCCATCATAGTAGAAGTGCCAGCTCCTGCTCCATACAACAAACAAATTATAAAAATGATCTGTGCCTTCTGGGTGAGTAATCACAGATCGAAGAGAGAAACCACAGAGTTAGTTTGACCAAAAACATTAATAAGAATATCACCAATAATGGAACCCTTCTCTACTATGCAGATTGTTTCTGATGGAATAAAAGAAAAGTGATCTTAAAAGTCTATGGAAAATTCTCATCTGATAATTATATCTGAGAGTTACAAATAGTTCTTTTGCTGTTGCTAACTGACTATGTAACCTTGGACGTGCCTCTTTATTTCTCTGAATCTCAGATTTCTCTTCTGGAAATTTAAGATATTGATATAGATTGCCTGTTTCTCTGTGGTCTAAATGGAGCCATATATTAAGAATAATGTGCAAATGGATTCAATATCTGCAATTTCTATTGGTCTGGCTTCATATTTTCTATTTACCCCTTCTGTTGCTCTGTTGCTCTTCTCCTGACTTCTTCCAGTTTAATCTTTTTGTAATTCCTTTATTGGCCTTATCACTATTTGTCTTTGTGTTAAAGTTTTGGTGGCTGCTTAAGGGATTATAATATGCATTTTATTCTATTTAAAAATAGTGTTGAATCACTTAATGCAAAAACATAAGAACTTTGCCCTGTATAATTTCATATTCCTTTTCTTTAGAACAGTATTTTCAAATATTGTACATGCACATATCCACTCCACAGTGGAATGTCTTGTTGCTTTAAATAGTTGTTTTTAGTTCAACATTTGTTCTCCATGATCCCTATCCCAGGCAGCAGCCAGGTCTCTTAAACTTAGTTTCCTGATAGAAACTCTACACCAGGGGTCAGCAAACATTTTCTATTAAGATGGTCTCTAACCACTCAGCTCTGCTATGATAACACAAAAGCAGCCATAACACTTAACTTAATGAGCATGACTATGTTCATTAACCTGTTAACCTTGTTAACAGCAGACTGGAATTGGCCTGCAGACACTATTTTGCTGATGCATGATCTCAATCATTGATAGAAAATAGTAGATGTTCACATTTCTTATCTGTAATTCTGAAATCCTCATAGCTCTGAAAACCATGCTTTACCATAACTCACTTGGCAGGAAAAGAGACTTATCTGAAATTATCTAGCAATAGAACCTGACTGGAACTATTTTATGGCTATTTATAGCCTATTTATGACCCATAGTGTGAATATTCTTATTTTGATGCAGAAATATTAATGTGTTGATTAAGGAGTGCCACTCTGTGGCATGTAGCTTTTATAAATTCAAAGTGGATTCTGTAACACAGTCAGTATCATGGGTTTCATTAATGAAGTATGGTTTGACAGTACTGTAATCAGCAAAGTGTGTTCTAACAATCTGCATGGGTGTGTGCTACATCTCCCAGCTTCCTCTGGGTTGGGATCTTCTTCTGAGGTCTCTTGTGATTTAGGAGAGTCCCTCATTACCCCAGGCTCCTCCAGTTCCTATCCCAGTTGGGAATCTCTTTGATCTGGCAGAGCAGCAGCCTTTACTTCACAAAAATGACAACACAATTCCAGCAAATAAATTTCTCAGACAACATTTTTTAAAAATTTGATTAATTGGCAAGTTGCTATATAAGGTGAGGAATTGAAGCCCCAGGAGATCAAGTTAGAATCTGAACTCTATCATTTACTAGACTATGCCTTTGGGTGAGTCATTTAACCTTTGTGAATTTGTTCAGCTGGAAAAGAGCATAATAATATTACTTACCTTATAGAATTAAAAAATAGATCATGTAGTTTACTGTTTGGCTCAGAACATATATTCAATAATTTTTTTTGAGACAGGTTCTCACTGTGCTGCCCAAGAAGTTACAAAGTGTTATACTTTTTAAAAAATATAATTGGATTAGCTAGAAAAACCAAAAGGTGCAACCTACCCTTTCCTGTATATGGTTCATGACCTCATAGTTTAATTCTGATAAATTATTAATGCTTGAATGTAATACCCAAGCTTAGTATTACGTAGATAAACTCAAAACAACTGTGCACTCACAGAAATTGTTTGCAGAATATTATGCATATTGTTCTTAAAGAATATGTAGAATTTTATCAGAGTCTTAAAGGAATTCATGTTCCAGAGGTGAAAAACCAGTGTCCTAAAAGAACCAGCATACTTGGGGGATTGAGAGCAAAGCACTGATGTTCTACTTGATCCATCAAGGTTTCCCAGTGGAATTGAGTTGGTCCATGTGAGACATTTCCTCACTATCTGTTTTGTAGAACTGGATTGGGCATATGGCATGAACACTCTTAAACTGGTGTTGCTGCTGTCTTCAGTCTATTAGCAAGTCCTGGGGAAACGTCAGTGCTCCAGAGATGCACACAGCAACAATAAGTGCTTGCACAGCTATCAGAGCTTAGACCTAGTCTTGAGACTGAAAACTGAGCTCAGTATCAACTTCTCCTGAGAAGATTTTCAAAACCTGTGAGGTGTCTTTTGATCCTGAGAAAATGCTTGTATTTTCCTCCTACTGAGTATACTGAAAAGCCAAAAAAGAGTAGATAGAAAACAGTACGCAAAAAGTCAACTTATCTTGGCACACAGCCTGACTGGTGCAATACTCTTCAATTCTCTAGACTAGAGAAAACATCCAGGTTTTAGCTGGGCTGTGTGACCTGGAACTACCTGTCACTTAGCAGTCCAGCATGTGAGATGGTGACAGCTGCATCCAGGACAAGCTCCAGCTTTCCTTGGGATATAGAAATGTGCTAAGCCAAGATTGCTGGCAGAAAGTGCAGGCACATGGGGTGTGAGTTGTGGAGGGACTCATGAGACCTCTTGGCAGAATCAGCTGCAACTAGAGTGTGCAGACACTTGTCCAAGCACAGCTGTGAAGCATAAGCTGCTGTTGGAAGAGAATTTGGAGTTCTGCAGTGGGACCAAAGGACCCTGATTTTCTGATGCAAAGCAAGGTGAAGACTCAGCTCTTCTATAACAGAGAATATAACTTCAGTGAATTATCCCTCATGGATTATATATATATATATATATATATATATATATATATATATATAATCACTTTAAGAATTTGGAGTATGAGATAGATATGAATTCTGCCAAGTTTTGGATGCCTAGTGATTTCTCTGAAGACTGACCTACAATTATGAGTAAGTTTCATATTTCTCAGGCATTTTCTTATAAATAATGAAAGGTGAAATTTCAGAGAAAAGGGCAAGTTAGTACTCATCATGGGAGAAAGTACTTCAGCTGGAGGATAACAAAATACATTAGACTTATAACTCACTGTCGATAGAGCAAATAATATAAGAGCACCTCAGCTCTATTCTGGATGATCAGAAATTGAATTGTTCCTGCTTCAGAATAGTTCTATGACCCAAGAAGAAAACAGTATAGGGCATAACATGATAAACATGTGCTGAGAAATCACAGAGATGGCTTGTGTTTGTCCATGAGAAACTGAAGCTCCTGCCTCTAAGTGTAGGTCTTTGAAATATGGTAATGATTTCAAAAGCACATTGTGGACATGAGTATTAAAATGCTTTTCCTGGGGCACAGGGAACAAAGGTTTTCCTTTTTATCTTTACTCGCTTTGTAATATCAGCCCTACCCAAATACGGCCAGGAAGCCTAAATGACCACAGAGGAGAGAAACAGACACCTCAGAATCAAGAGTGAGCTGTGGCTCAGCCTTTATTGTTTATAGATAAGAATTATAACAATACCTTCCTGGAGAGTCTCCGTTTTCATCAAATAGGATCATATCTCCAGAAACTCCAGTGAAATTGGTTTTCATCAGAGAGTCTAAGAGTTTCCGTCCATCAATTGGCTTCATCGCATCACAGAGTCCTGCATAGCCAGGGCAGAGGGACATCTGCATGTTGTGGAGGCCATAGGCCATGGAATAGATGGCGTTGATCACAAACCCCATTTTGGAATCTTGAACATGATGTGTTCTCAGAGTCAAAGAACCTGTGGGGAAACAAATTAGGGATTGACTTGGAGAGCTGGAATTCTACTGGAATGATTAAAGAAAGTATTGGAGCAACACATCACATTTACAACCAGACAAAACACAGGTGACAACACATTGTGCCTAACAACTGTCTTCTATTTTCAGGCTTTTCTTCCAAAACTGTGAAGAAAGAGCTGAACCCCAAACCAAGATTCACTTCCTCCAGTAACCAAACTCTGAGGACAGATTTTAAAATAGCACTGCACTTCTGTACTAAAAATTTATCTGAAGGTCAGATTAATTTCCATAGTGTTATTCATGATAATATTCCTTTTCTAGAAATCATGAAGAAATACCCAGTTTTCAAACTATTAACTCCTTTTAGTCAAGCAAACTCAATCCTCTACCATCTTGCTTTCACCAGTTTAATTTATTACTCACTACTTCAAGTCTCAAAACATATGTTCTCCATAAACTGGCCTATTTGAAAGTTATGAAATTTCATAACTTTCATAACTCTAGAGTTTTTAATAAACTCTATTAATTCATGAATTAATTCAATAAACATTTGTGGATGTCAGAGTATACCTAAAGCTGTGTGATTGATGATCTAAAGAAAAAAACAGCAATGAATTAGGCACAAGTTATGCTCTAAAGAAATTTGCCCAATAAAAATTCTGTTATGAATGATCTATTTCTTAATATTTGAAATGTAAGGATTTGGGAGAATTATGTTGGTAGGCAGCAGCATTGGTGAGTGCAAATGTGTCTAGTGTGTTCTTTGAGGTAAAAAGAAAGACTAAAACTTAGTGAGAGGAAGAGTCGGATGTGAAGCAAGAGAAATAGGTGGGGACTGTGAAATGTACAGCTTTGATGTGTTTTCTGATTTTCATTTAAAAATGTATTTTGCTATATGGAAAATGGAATGACAGTGGGAAGGGGAAACATGAAGAATACTATAATAGAGAGAGGATTATGGCTTAGTCCAGGGTAGGAATCTAAGTATATTTTGAAAACAGAAGGAACAGGATGTGTTAAAATTGGACGTGGAGTATGAGGGATGAAGAAGAACTGAGGATGAGTCCAGGTCTTCAGTTAAAGCACTGATGGATTAGAATGCATGAACTGAGAAGTGAGAAGGGGTGGGTGGGGGTGAGGAAAGAAAAGCGCTGTTTAAGTTGTTAAGCAGGGAGGTAAGTTACTTATTGCTGATGTAACAGACCAGAACAATGATATTGGTGGCCTTGCTAAGGTGACAGAAGTAGAGAAGGTGAGGACACATTTTGAAAACAGAACAGGCATCACTAACTGGTTAGATCTTTCTCAGATATCATAATCCTTATTTAATTCTTGATAATACCTTTGAAATTTTATTGTTCTCTATTGAGTTGGAGTCCGTGGCCCAAGTAATAGAACACCTGACTTGAAAGCACAAAGCACCACCAAAAAATAGAAAGTACTGTTCTCTAAGGTTGCACCTTTAGTCATCTTGCAATTTTATACACTTTCTAATGCTTCAAATGTCATGTAAGTAAGGATTCCTTAACACTAATATAGTGCCAGGTATGGTTTTCCGTGCTATACAGAAATCTACACAACTAATCTTAGAGAAACACAGTGAGATAGATACGATTTTTATGAGGAAATTGAGCATAGAGAGATGCAATGATTTACCTAATAATGTCACACAGCTACTGAGCAACAAAAGCAGAATTTAAAACTAGGCAATCCAGTTCTGGAGTCCGTGCTCAGATACTCTGTAGCTTTTGAAATATGAATTCAATTGAAGTCCCAGACATTTCCTGAGGCATGCAAACCTTAACATTTAATAAAAATTTAAGTTATTTCTGTATTTCACCCAACTTGGAACACTCCTATATTCCCTGTATTTATTTCTTTTCTTTCAGCCTCATTCCTACTACCTTAATTTGGGTTTCAAAATTTCTTAATGATTTAGGTATATGCATATTTATATTTCTGGATTCAACACCAAAATCAATAAGTTAAAGTTTATAAAATGAAAAATATCTTCCTCTCTTCCCCCTAGACACTATTTCTCACTAGGGGCAGCTATTCTAAAGGGAGATATTCAATATTCTAAATTATCCTTCCTCCAAAACATTACTAGTTTCAATGACAAATGTATAGGCATATAGATGTTATCTCAAATGGTAGCATGCCTACACACTTAGATATCTTGCTTTTAACACTATATTGCAGAGCTTCATGTTCTTTCCATAGTGGTACATGTAGGGGTGCTACATTATTTAACTGGCTGTGTAATATTCTCTCACTTGAATAGACTGTCATATATGCAATATATCTAATCCCAGTATGCTTTATCATTTCTTGCTTGAGTTCCGCAGTCTCTTTTTCTTTTTTGAAATAGGGTCTCACTATGTAGCCCAGGCTAGCCTCAAAGTTACAATCTTCATGCCTCAGCCTCCCACGTGTTGGAATTCCATAGTAAGCCATCATGCATGGCTCTACAATAGCTTTTTAAAAAACATACACTTACTGCCCCCAACATTTTCCTGCTCTACATATTCCAAATGTAGATATCAGAGAGAAGTCCTTCTAAAACACAAACTGATTTTGTTAGGCAATTGAAACTATTTGTTTCCATTTAGTTGATAGCAAAAATTACACCTTCTACATATCTTGTCCTGTCTGTAGATGCTTTTCTTATTCTGGCTTCAATTTATTTCTTCATTCCTATCCACTATATTCTATATACCAGATATTTAAAACTTCTGGCATTCATGTAATAAACTTTTCTTTTATTTTTTAATTTTATTAACATAGAACACTTGTACAAGGAGATATGTCATTCTCTTCCTTTCCCCCACCTTCTTAGAACAATTTCAACAGGTTTCATTTTCTATTTTTATATATGAATACAAAATACATCCACCATATTCTTCACACCTCCTTCTTCACTCTGTTCTTATGCCCACTGGTATCCGCCCCTGGAAAAAACCTATGCTATGCCCTTCATTTTTTCAAGTATATACTGATGGCCCAAAAGGGTTTCATCTTGGCACTTCAAGCCTGTAAATTTTGGGCTTTAATGAAATTAACTCTTCCCCACCGCTGTTACACTCTTTGTCTATCACCATACTTCCCAAATATTCAGCAGCTTACAGAACAATGCATTATATTATATTCATATATAGATGGGTTGTTTCAATACTTTTCATTCTCTATCATTTTCTTTCCCTCTACCGCCTCCTATAGTCTCTTGAGACAGACTCATTAGTATAATTTTGCTCTCTCTCACTATATATGTATATATGTGTCTGCATATAAATTGGACATAAACATAAGAGAATGAGGGTCTTCTTCAGTCATACAGGCATGGATTTTACCCTAGTCGGCACACAGAGTTCTCAGAACTGAGCCAAGTGGCTGAATGCTATTCAGGTCCAAGCTGGCTACTGGATGAGGCATGTGTGGTGGACTTTTAGAATACTGCAAAGCCTGAAAACTGAATGAGGATGGAGCTGTAGTCCATGGAAGGCAAGTATAAGCTTACAGACTGAAGCTCACCAGGTTAGTTGCTTTAAAAAAATATTCTACATAAGCTTTAAATAGCACTAAAATAGCATTCTACTTGAAATTTCCAAAACCAGGGGATGATATTGAGAGGAAGAGAATGTGTATGATCATGTGGGAGTAACATTAGGGTCCTGTCAGCTGAACTAGTGATTGCTTTATATTTCTAAACTCCCTGCTCTTGTTTGGTTTACATAATCTTTACTTAGATGTCTTCATAGAAATCACAGAGTTATGTTCAATTCCTTTGTTCTTGTTGCCTTGGCCCTAGAGAGAAATTCCATCTCATTACTTAATTTATTCATTGACTCATTCAGGGATTAATTAAGTTATTGATTAAAAAGACATTTATTGAATCCCCATTGTAAGACTCTGTTGGATGCTGGTGATATAAACATGAGAAAGACAGAAACTTTGTCCTTCAAAATGAAACAAAACAAAACCAAACCTTCACGTGTAAGGTACAGACTAGTGATAGAAGCTTGTGAGGAGCCAAGGCATTCATCTCATGAAATCCAGAATGCACATAATAAAATGGTCCATTTTATCCAGACGTCTTTTCTCGTCCATTAAACCGGAGGATAGAATGGGCATGTTAATTAGTTGCCATGTTGGTGCTCCAAAGAACTGGACTTCCTTTAGCAGTATTTACTTTGTTCAAGGATTATTTTTGAGGTTCTTTGTAGAACAGGTCCAACCTGCCATGAGGTTCTGTGCCAACCCAAACTTGCCAGCCATTCCCAGCCGTCTGCAGAGGGCAAATGAAAACTGAGAAGGGCTGTCCTTCCTTCTTTTATTCTTTATTCAAAACTGGATCCTTGATTTACAGCACTTAATATTCAAACCTAATTTTAGTATTGTGTAATCAAATCAGAAGCCTCTGAAAAGATTAGCAGAAACTGAAACATTCCAATCTGTGATTACAATTTAATTTTACAGCCCACGAAACATGTTTTTTAATTCATCTGGGGAATCAGATCTTGAAGCTTAGAAGATGTTAAACAAAAGGAAATAAGACTATGTGAACAAGTCAGAGTTAGAGAAAGTCTGAGAGATAAGGGACTTTAGAGATTATCAAGTCGAAAGGCTGTATAAAAGAAGTCCTTGGGCTGAATCCGTTAGATATGTTTTGCTTAGTCTAAATGCTATTTTAGGAAAATCTCATTTAGACAACTTTGAAGACTCTTTTGAAAAATCAGAAGAAATAACCCAATATTCACATTTTTATATGGAAAATACTCTTCCTGTCCCATGAACTCTTCTGAGATTGTGACTCCTAATTTTGTTCAATAAACTCATTTTACAGAAGAGGAAAGTAAGTCCAGGAGAGGAGAAAGGATAGTCATTGGTTAGCAACTCCTTGTCTCCTAATTCCTTAAATAGCTCTATTTTCATTATGAGAGGCAACATGGTCATGATTAAAAATGTTTTCAGCAAACTGACTTGTGACCGTGGAGTAATG